ACGAACACTGTGACTTTGCACTGACAAGGCGCTCTGAGGACCTCCCTCCTTTGCTGAAGCTCTGATTAATTTTTCCGTCCCGGACGAACACTGTGACTTTGCACTGACAAGGCGCTCTGAGGACCTCCCTCCTTTGCTGAAGCTCTGATTAATCTTTCCGTCCCGGACGAACACTGCGACTGGCGGTTCCGTCAAACCGTTAACCAACAACCAGCCGTTCTTTGGATCTTTAGACGTCAGTATGCTGTTGCTTCATCTGATTCATCTGCCGTTCTCGTTTTCGGCTTCAGTATGGCCCCAAACGATGTACGATGATACCAAGACCAGGGTTTGACTCCCATGCTTCCATCAAATTTGTTCTCAGGGACAGTGCAATGGACGGCAATGCCAACTTTGCTGATCTGGAGGCACTGGAGCCCGACGTGAAAGTGCCCTTCTACATCTATCAAACGCCGGCGATGAGGAAGCTGTACGACGGCTGTCAGCGCACTGCACTCAGCATTCTCGACGGAAGGTGGCCTCCTCATTTGCCCAAGGGCATGGGTGATGTCAACAGAAAGAACTATGGTGTGTATTCCGATTGTTCGGCCTTCGAAAGAGAGAACATTCCCCTCTTTCAACGTTGCAGATGAGGTCTTCTGGCTCGATCAGCTCTGGAACGATTCTTGGAGGACGTTTGACCCAGAAGATGCCCTCGTCTTTGTTATCCCGGTGTATCCTGGTGCGTACACCGACTGCAAATGTCTGAATCACTTCTGTGATTTCTATATGTTCTTAGTATTGTCTCTTGAGCAAGCCTGTGAAGGAGACCGAAATCAGACTCACGCACTGGCCGAGGCAGCAGTGAGGGAGGTGAGATATGAATGCTTGCCTCTTACACTGATGCGTGCTTGTTCAGATCATGCAGCTGCCCTACTTTGGAAGGAACGAAGGACTTGATCACATTGTAATGGTAGGCGCAAATACACAGGAAATGGACTTGCTGGTAAGGCTGTTGACTCGTCAGGGAATTGATTGGCGATTTACACATACGAAGAACAAAAGCATCAAAAGAGCATTCGGCAGGCGGTTTGCAGCATTGGCAAAAAAAATCTCATGGGGGCGAAAAGTCGCTGAGAGAGGTTCGTTACCGGGAATCTATCTCTGTGTATCTTGGCATTGATACACCACCAACCTTTCCAGGTTACGGTCACATTGGTTGTGCGGTGACATCACCTTTCACGTATGCATCGCGGAAAAAGAAAAGGAGAGAGAGAGAGAGAGAGAGAGAAAATCGCTTCCACTTATTTCTCTCTGTCGTGTCAGCTCAGTCCTGACCTTTCTGCAGAAAGGTAATCAGCCATTTGAAAAAGAAAGCCTTCTGGAGCGCGGCCTAATAGACGCAAGAGATGTCTTTGAGGACAACTGCATACACACCGCCCGCAATCCACCGTCGAAACATGACTGGTTCGCAAGAGATTACAGCATGTTCTTCCAGGGTGAGGCATACAAAGGCAATTCGTGCCTGTCTCAACATAGTGCTAATGGCTCCCCTCAGGTCAAACGAGTTTTCGGCGTGGGTACATCTACCGACGACTTGCTTTTCAACATCTTGTTGGCTGGAATTTCACCGCCAAGTCATGTCTTAGGCAAAACATTACATGTCGCAGGAACCCAAACGTCTTCGTTTCTTCGTCCACAAACAAGCTCCTGAATTTGGTCGGGAGCGACACTCAGATGCAACAACTGCTCCCGAATTGCCCGCGTCAAGCTAATGAGAGACTTTTGTTTGATGATGCCTCTTTCGGTGGGCATTCTCAAGAGCCTGGGCTTGGAAAGTTTGAGGGATGCCGACTTCAAGTATCAACGAAAGACGCGAATGTAGCAGCCCGCAGGGCTGCGACCTTCCTGCATCGGCTTGCAAACTCCAAGTTGAATCTCTGTTTCAGAGGCGATGATGTGACGTCATCGCGATACGTGGATGGATTCAGAAGCCGCACTCTCAACGTCTTAATCACGGAGGCTGAGGAAATGTTCAAATACGCGATGCCTTTCCAGGTTCCGAAGAACAGCTTGAATTCACTTTGTTCCGCGTTTTCCGCCTCTCTCAGTGCGAAATTCCTTGGCGCAATTTCACCTTTGTCATTGATGGGCCTTTGTTCAAGGCAGATCCCCGAAAGGCTCTGACTCCTATCCTCGAGGAGGTCTATGGAGATCATGCAGCCATCAGAGAGAGGCTGCGGCTCATGGATTATTATAGCAAGAAGATCTTGTGGGACGCACCTGGCAGCACTACGGCACGCTCAGTGCTTCGAGCCATGACACGACAATGCCTAACTGAAAAGGCGAAGGCCGACTTCATCAGAAGAACGTCTAAATGGAAACATGGTGAGTGGATGCGACTATGCAACGCGGGCGGTATGCATGCAATTCTCAGATATTCAAGGCGCATCGACAAATGAGGGAAATGTTCGAGACCATCCTCTCTTCTGGAAATGCTCGTTCCCTGACCATTCAGCACCACGTGAGGAACAATTCGGCCAGCATTGACCTGTGACAGGTCAATACATGATGGTAATTGACTTGTGTTGATTGATGGTAATTGACCTGTGTTGATGCCTGACGGGTGGCCTTCTGCTTCTTTACCGTGCATACTGATTATTTGCACCAAGTGAACAGCGTTCTGTATATCAACAGCGATAATGTCACGTCTCTGTACAATCTATCAACTCAATCTACATGATGGCCCTCACTCACTCCTCCTTTTCTTCGGGCGCTCCTCCTCACTATCATCTACGACCATCTCACCAGACTGGTAGTGCAGGGCCTCCATCTCCCGCCTGTAATCGATGGCCATCTGCTTGGCCTCTTCGTCGCCGTACTTCAAGGACTTGCTCTTCTGTTCGCCGCCCTGGTACCATCTGGCCAGCCATCTGTGCTTGCTCTTGTCGTAGCTGACGCCCCTGACACCGCTCTGTCGCCCTGCCGGCGCTCGCACAGACGCCCGCCCGGTGCGCTCCATCTCGGCACGGTGCTGCTCAGCCAACACCTGACATGCACACAGATACATACAGGTGCATCATGAGGCTGACAAGAAAGAGCCTGAACTTCAGCCGATTACGTGGTTACCTTGGCCTCGTCCCCGTGCTCCTTGACAAGGAAGTACTTGTGCTTCAGCTTGCCGTCAGCCTCCATCATGGGTTCGTTTGGCCTGAAGTCCGATGAAGCTGGGTTTGAGTCCTATGCAGGCGCAGGTTCAGTGAAATGAGGTCAGAGGGACACGAGCAGCTGAGGGAAATGATCTGAAATGGACAAACACGGCTGCGGTGAGTCTCTGTACATGTGCGCAACGCAGCACCGCAACAGCCAGACATACGCACCCCACACACATGGATGGATGGATGGATGGACCTGTTGTGGGTGTGATTCATCACTCTCCCTGAGGCCGTCCTCGTCCTCTACGTCCACCATCAATCCAATGAAAATTTTCGTTCATCATCCAATGAAATTTTGCGTTCATCAACACCCCAGCATGCGAAAAAAACCCGTCGGGGAACATTGGGATTTATATCTCTGGAGTGGCTGCCCAGGCCTCCGGACGGGGGTCTGCTGAGTGCCTGTTGTCCGAAATTGTATCACTCACGCTCCTTCTGTCACTAGCATCGCTTTCTGTTCTGGAAAACACGACTGACGATGTCAGGCACATGGCTGTTGTTTCCGTGTTTCTCTTGCCTTTGGCTCTTTGAATGTGTCAAACTGTCCGTTTGTGTCAGCCACCATCATCGGCTCCTAGAGACGCCCTCATTCTCTCATAATTTCGCATTCAATAACCAACGGATGAACATCATCCAAGACGCCAGCAACGACTTCGCCGATCTAAAGGCACTGGAGCGGGACATTGAGGTGCCGTTCTACATCTACCAAACGCCGTCTATCAGGAAGCTTTATGACCTATGTCAAGAGAGCGCGCGTAGCATTCTTGAGGGCCGATGGTCCCCTCATTTCCCTTTAGAGAATAGGAAGAACACTAACGAGATATACTGGCTGGACCAATTATGGAACGATACATGGAGGACGTTTGACCCTGACAAAGCGCTCGTCTATGTCCTCCCAATCTATCCCGGTGTGTCGATGAACAGTACGGGGGAAAGTGAGTCATTCCACTTGAGCGCTTGAGTTTCGTGTATTTGGTCCAGTTCTGCTGTATCATCGTTCGTGCAAGGAAGGGAATAGGAAGAAGATACATGCACTGGCAGACAAGGCTGTTAAGGAGGTGAGACATCCTATGAACATATATGAATGGGTGTAGCATTTGTTCAGGTGACGGAGACCCCACAATGGGAGAGAAACCGCGGGCTCGACCACATCCTCGTGGTGAGTGTGTACTCATCCATGGCTCATGGCAAAACGATGTTTGTGTCACTGGATTGGCTTTCTCATAATGCAGCTGACCGATTTTGAGTTTAAGTACCCTGGTCGCATGGACATGGTATTTGGGAGAGCGTTTTCGACAATTGCGAGGAATATCACACAGGGGCGGCACCTTGCAGACAATCGTACGGAGACAGAAGAAAAATGACCAGCCATCCGCAACGCACATCTCGTCGAGTATCCTGTCACAGAGAGGGGCCTCTTTGGATGTGCTGTCACGATTCCCCACACGTATGCGAATCGCCCATAAGTATGCGAATCGTCCCTGATGCATGCACGCATGACCTCACATTGCTTACATTCAGGTCATCTCTGACAGCGCTGCAAAAAGCCTACCAGCCTTTTGAGAAGGAAAGCCTGCTGAAGCGCGGACTCATCCAGCCGACGGACGTGTTTGAGGATGACCGACTTGCCTTGGCTTTCGATCCTCCCTCGAGACACGACTGGTTTCAACGCGACTACACGATGTTCTTTCAAGGTAGATCTGGACTTGCAGGTACCATACGAATACGCTGACGGTGTGCAGGACACTTGCACAACGGTCGTCCGTATCGCAAATCCGCTTTTAAGCATTTGCCGGGATGGCGCTACGTGCCAGGAACTTGCACGGATTGCCTCCCAAGAACCAATGTCTTTGTCGCATCGGGACTCGTGTCAAAACCGACATACCCTTTATGTCCCCGCCAAAGGGATATCACTCGCGGTACACGCGTCCCAATGGGCAGGTTCGAGCAGTGCAAAAGTGCGGCAAGGAACCACACAGATCGCCTCTTCGAGACAGCAACGTTTATGCATCGTCTGGCTAACTCCAAGTTGAATCTATGTTTTCGTGGTAGAGACGTGACGAGCTCGAGGGTTGCCGATGCTTTTTGGGCCCGGACGCTGAACGTCCTGATAAATGAGCTTGACGACGTTTTCAGATACGGCATCCCCTTCCAGTGCGAAATCCCATGGAGGTATGCAGAAAGGACAGTGACGTTAGCACACGACCCGTATTGTGGGGGTCGGCGCTGTTCCGCCCTACGCAGGAATTTCACATATGCAATCGAGGGCTCTGTTTTCGAGCAGGACCCTCGCGCAGCGCTAAAGCCCATACTGGATGAGCTCTACAAGGACCACCGAGCCGTCACAAAAAAGCTGCGCCTGATGGACTACTACAGCAAAAAGATACTGTGGAATGCACCAAAAAGCGAGACAGCAAGGAGTGTGCTCCGCGCAATGACACGGCAATGTCTCACTAACGAGGCGAAGCTCGACTTCATTGAAAGGACTAGCAAATATGGTAAGCCATCCATTCACACAGCGATGCAGAACCGCCGCTGGCTGGAATCTCGTCTGCGCGTGTCGGGGGGGAAGGTACGGCAGCGAATGTGCGGGACCATCCCTTGTTCTCCGAATGCACTTTCCCTGACACGTCGGTGAAGAGTGACGAGCAGCGAAAAGCGCATAGCAAGAAGATACTGTGACTCCACTTGTGTGATGGCCCTGCTTGGCCTTCTCGTTTCCCCCTCGCCTCCGCCCACCATCGATCCCCTTCACCCCGCACCGTCCTAGATGCTACAGAGGAGAGCACTAATGGACCATTAACAATGAACGAGAATTAGAGCTCTCATCGAAATCGCACCGAACGCGCTGCGGTGTATATCTCATTACTTGGAGAGAGAGAGAGAGAGAGAGATCACTGCACAGTTTTGATCTTCTGAAGAGGTGCCTCGACCACCTAAACAAGGAATGCAGAGCAACACCATGGATCATGTAATTAGAGCCGTCTGTTTTGAACGCGCCCAATATCATGAATGAGAATTCTAACACAAAAGCAATATCAGTCGCCCTCAGATCAACCCGTCTATCTACACCCCTTCTCTACCGTCTAAATCGTGGCTTCGACAACACACATGTACATCTACTCTGCCGTGCATGCATGATGTGTACCGCTGGAGGGGCGTCTTGCCGTCCGGTCTCTTGCGCATCGTGTCGTACTTCAGAAAGTCCACACGCGATGCTGCCTCGGGGGTGTCGGCGTAGTCCGCCCTCTGCGGATTCTCGAACATTCAGCACTTCCTCGTACGACCCTCCCGGTCTGAATCCTCTGTGATCCCATGGAGAATGGCGTCATTTTCATAGTGTGGGTCCGTGCTCGTTTGTCTGTTGCGTTGGCACGTAGTGCGAGTTTGTGTGTGCGTGGCGGGCGGCGCCGCTGGGAGATACGCCAGGCGGGCGCTGAGGATTGTGCTGGCATGTTTGTCGCGTGATTGAGAGTTGGTCGATTGACACAGTTCATTTCATGAGAGACCGAAACTGCCTGCCGTTGCGCTACGAGTCAATGTATTTTCACATCATACCATTAAATGCATCACCTTCAGCTTCTTCCAATTTTGATGTTAGCGATGTTTTCTGATGCCAAGCATCACTCATGAGTAAACAGCATACTCACTGTCCAAACGTGCAGTCACTTACAGTCCTCACAGTATGCGTCAAAGAACCCGCCCGGTCCCACTTTTCCGTCGGTCAACTCTGTACGACACGCATCCCAAGAGAGAGAAAAAATATGCAACAGAGAAGAAAAAGAAAACAAAAAAATGGGTGCGGGACATGTCGTAGGCCCAGTGTCTCGAGCTGGAGACATGTGACCAGAGATGCTTACTGGAAGCCCCATCCCACTACTGATGGGACAACCATGGGCATGGATTGTATTGTCTCGGAAGACGCAGGTGCGCCGAAGTCGACGATCTGACGTCTCACGCTGCGCTGTCCGGCACGTCAGATAGATATCAGCTGGGGAGGTTGCCGGGGCCAGCTTTTCGCCGCACCGTCTGAGATGGAGCAGCATCAGTGGTCTCGGCGCCATCTCAGACAGCACGCACCCGCGGGGGGTGACAGCACGTGATTACTTGGTGTCTGTTGTATCTCGTTTGTAATACAGACTTAATGCGAACACAGTGACATTCCACGTTACAAATGAATGCACGTGACCACACCTCAGTCCTCCATCATGCACCCACCCACCCACACACACACACAAATGTACTTGAGTGAGAGAGAGAGAGAGAGAAATGTACTTGAGAGAGAGAGAGAGAGAGAGGAGGGGGTAGACAATTGAGACACAACCACCAGCGACTGGGCCAGACGTTTTGCTGTGGCTCGCCCAGTGGGCAAGAAGCGTCCGATCGGGGTTCGTTACTATCCGTTTTTTCTCTGTTCGCTAAGCGATGTAGCTTGACACACTGAAGCAAGGCCAGTCAGTGAGGTTGGTTGGGAGAGATTCTCTTCCGTAGAAGCGCTCACCGCGCCCATTGGCTTTACTGACTGATGCGCTGACTCTGACTGCCTCCTGAAGGATGGTTGGGAGCGTGCTTGAGATCGGAAGAGCAACCTCGAGATCTGCTGGAGTACACGCAACGTGACGGCAATGACGTCTTGAACATGCACGTCTTGACAAGCAGAAGCGTATCGGAACTACAGAAAGAACTCACATTCGACGCAACAACGAATCACCTCGTCATTCTGCGATGGCAGGGCGTCAGTCAGTCACATGAGTGTGTGCTTGTCAGTCAAGCAATGAATGGATTCATTCGTTCATTCAGTGAATCACTGCATCACTGCAGACAACCCTCCTCGGTTGCTTCGCTTGGGAGACGGCCGTGATGACTCAAGAGAGAATGACAGAGTGATTCGTTCGTTCATGCCTTATCCAGCATCACGTCCCATTGCAGAATCACGTCATGACACTCATGTGTGAGACCTCTAAACTTTACATGGAGCTGTCGATGTGTTTACATCAACAGACGCTCGTGAATATAATTCCAGCACCCTCACGATGTTGCCTTGGCTGTTGTTTGGATGGCCTTTGGGCTTTGGAAATGTCCTTGGCATCCTCTTGCCGCACTCTAGGGATAATCAAACTGCATTGGGATCAGTGGAATCTTTGTCGTCGCGTGATGATCCCGTCGTTTGGAGCCTTGCTCCTGTCCACGATTCCCACACCTCCACAGGCTACGAACTTCGTCCGCCATTTGCGACAGAATTGGTATCGGACAACGACGAGGGTACCAAGGACAAACCGCCGGTAATTGACTTTCAAAGTGAAGACGGAGCCTTGCATTACTACTCTCCCAAGTTCCGGCCGAAGAAAGGGATTGCCTATAGCAAGATATCGCTTGTTGTACCTTTGACCTTCAAGTTCTTTGGCGCCTGTCTTGACAACTTGGTGGGGTATTTCTACAACGGAACGCGGCTCCCAGACCAAATGATCCTGCTTGTTTCGGAGTTCGATCACAAACCCTCGTCGAAAGCACGATGCAAAAGCTTGGTTGCTGATTGGGTAGAGAGAGGTCTCAATGTCTCCATGATAGCACGAGGCGGGATCCACCTCATAGGAGACCAAAAAAACTACGGATGGTCCCTATCCAGCCAACCTGTCACGACATTCTTTGACGTTGATGATGTCCCTCACCCCCAAAGGATTGAAATACTTGAAGAATATTTCAGCCACGATCCAAGCATTGATTACTTCCTTGCAGGATACACGCCACTCAAGGGCAGACCGAACAGGCTATTTTATGAGAGAATCGAAGTGGGGAAGTTATCGACGCGATACAATCTCAGGCCTGAAGACATTCGGCCGACTTACAGCAGATTCTATCAAGAATATCAAAAAGAATTTGCGGACCCCTTCACGAAGGGACTGCCTTGCTGTTGTGGTGCAGTGTCGAGAAAAAAAGTACCTAACGGATGGCCAACAGTTCGGACGGATTTGCTTCCTGTAGCAAACTTTTCTGAAACGCTTCGTGACTTTGAAGATTGCTATATGTTCTTGACGCTGAATTGGAGAGGATATAATTGTTACACGGCGGGTCACATTGATCTTGGCTATTATGTGAGAGGAAGCTTCAGGAAACTTGGGCATTGCTTAAATGCTACCCTCATAGAGCGACCCTCTGGTCGTTTCTCTTTGTTTTAATGAGACGCCGCTTCAATGGAAGGCACTCGGATTGCATGCAGGCACGAATAAGGTCTCACAGGCAGATGAGGAGCAGACAGTTGTGAGTAGACCCGAATTATTGACGCTCTTTGTGTAGTCGCTCAATTGTGGATGTGTCAGAGTGGCTAATGGATGCATTGCACACTATATGTACACTCGAATTATTTGTGCCAGCAGAAGTATACAAACAAACAGTAATATCTGCAGAGGTCTGAAATCTGACCACCAAACACAAATATATCTGCAGAGTCTGTTTTCTCGCTGGGTGGCCGCGAAACTCAAATAAAACGACATCCACTGATCCTCCTCTTGGTCCGCGTCCCGCCATGTAGTCCCGGCGCATCTTGTTGTAGAGCCGCTGTCGAGCACCATCGTCTCCCTCCCCCTCCTCTCCCTCCTCCTCACGCACCCTCTTCTTGCTCGGATTGGCACCGCTGCTGCTGCTGCTGCTGCTGGCCTGCTGCTGGCGAAGATCCCTGCGGCTTGGTAGCGGCCTGGGGAGCCGCCTTCTCCGCTTCCTTGGTGACCTGGGGCCCGATTTCAAAGTGGCCGTCGTCTGTGCCCACGGATACGAGCACCTGCTTGCGCGGGGCCTGCTTGGGTGCCGCTGCTGCCTTCGGGGCGGCGTCCTGCGGCGGAGATGTGGCGCTGCTGCTGGCAACGGGCTGGGGCGGATTGGCACCTGGCTGAGGTGGCATGGCGAGGTCAACGAGCGGTGCGGTCGGCTCGGCGAGGCGGGCTCAGTGGGTGTCAACTCGCCACCGTCAGCAGGAGGGAGCCCTACGGAGGGCTGCACGGATGACATAGATGGAAGGAGTGGGTCACAACAGCCGTGCCAAAAGCACCCCGTGCAACGCCTCCTCCCTTGGATTTGAATTTTTTTAGATTACTCCCTTTCTATTTTTATTCGATTTTTTGAGGGGTTTGGAACGTCTTAAAAAAGGAGATGGGGGATTGTGGGGGGGCGAAGCCCCTAGGCTTTTCGCCCGCGGAAATGACTATTTTTGGTGCCGAAAAAACCGCTCGCACATCACCGAGACACCGGAGAAATCGAGGAAAATAGTTGATTGATTGGTTGACTAATTGATTGCTTCATATACGTATCATCCCCGACTGTCTGTCTCTGTGAATGAATGTGGTGCCTCTACCGACACTGTCTGGCTGTTTGTCTGTATGAATTGTCTATGCATGTCTCTATGTGTTGTGTGTAATCCTATGTCTATCTTATGTGTGCGTGCGTGTATGTGTGTAAGTGTGAAAGCAAATAGACTGTGTGGTCAATACAAACGAGTGCTATCCAGTTCGATGTGTGAAAGACATTGGTTTGCGAGAAAAGCATGGCAAGGAAGCTGTAATTCAACGGGTTGCCTAGTTGCAACCCACATTTGTATATTTTCTCCTCTTTTTTTTGGCTTTTACAATGTTTCCGGCTTTTACAATGTGTTCCTTGATTGTTGTTGTTGTTGTTTTTTTTAGATTTTCTCATAAATAATCAATTTTTTTAAGACTTATAATTATCATTTATTTATTTATCTTCTTATTTCTTCAAGTTTTTTTTCTCTTTTCTTTTCTTTTCTTTTCTTTTCTCTGTTTGTCTTTTTTCTTTTTCATCTTTTTCTTTTTCTTTTCATCTTTTTTTTGGCGTTGTTTTAACTATTTTTCGACAGTTTGCCGGTTTTTAAATATTTTTTTCAGCACGTTTGGGACGTTTTAAAAATTGTGCGATCAGGAGAGAAGCCTTGCACGGGGTGGCAGTCACTCCGTGCAAGCCTCCTCCCTTTGATTTGAATTTTTTCAAAATTGCTTCCTTGTTTTTATTCTTATTTGAGGGGTTTGCGAAGTTTTAAAATAGAGATGGCTGGTTTGGAGGCGGCGAAGTGAAGGGGGTCTAAACGTGTTTTCAATGGCTAAAACAAGTCTCAAAATAGCCTTTCCGCCCCCCACCCGCTCCCCCCCAACCCCCGGTCATCGCCTAAAACTCTTAAAGTTTCTCCCCGATTTTTTATGTATTTGAATTCTTTTAAATATTTTTCGCCGGTTTGCCGGTTTCTAAATATTTTTGGGCACATTTGGGACGTTTTAAAAATTGCTCGATCAGGGGAGGAGGCTTCAACGGGGTGCGCCACGAGAATCAAGGATACATCGACACCGACTATGACAGCCCTGATGTAGATAGTGATGCAGTGAGAGAGACGGGACAGCCCGGCAGCTCTGCAGATAAGGTTATGGAGGACAGTGACGGCAGGGAGTGTGCGGCGGAGCTAGAGGGTATGATGGAGGAGGAGCGGCGTGGCGGCTCTGGTGACGACTGGGGCGTAAAACATCACTGCTTCAACTGGCCTTTCTTTCGTAAAGCAAGTACACAGGCCATTTAAATGCGGACACGTAACTGCACAATCTATCAGCATGGCTACACTCAACACTTGTCACTCTGCCCTTTCGTCGGGCTGGTAGTGCCTTACCTCCATTTCCCGCCGGTGCCTGATGGCCATCTGCCTGGCCCCCTCGTCGCCATACTTGTTGAGAGGGATTTGGTGTTTTGCTTGACACCTGCCATGATGGAGATGGAGATGCATGTGAGGTTTGAAATGTGTCTAATAAACACATGTGGCTGTATTTCGCAGATAGAACGAGGTTTAGATGCTGTCACGGTTCCGTACACGTTTGCAAGTTGTCAGCGAATGTCTGGTGTTTAACTTCCTTCGTCCTCTGCCTAATGCTCTCACCGTCACTGTTACCGCCGTTCTGTCCCGCGGTGTCTGTGTCCGATGTGCTATGAGTAATAGCACAAAGCTCGAGGATGTTGGATGAAGTGTTGCTGGTGAGTGAGAGTGGGTGTTTGATTGGGTGTGTGAAGGTTTCTGTTACTGAAGGCTCAAGCTATCTCTGTTCGCACACACGGGGGACTGCTCTTATCAACGACTGCCTGTCTGTCACACAGACGGGCACAAACAAACGAATGAACGAACGATCGGACGACGAACGACGAACGAACGCACGAACACACGATGCGAGGCCCTCTGTGTGACCCTCACCCCCCCGAAAGCATCCGAAAGATAACAAGCAGAGAAGATAGCAGTGCCATCATAGCACTGCTTTTAAGAATGGACTCTTGGGAGCGGAAATGGCCGTGAAGTAGTAGAAAAGAAGAGGATGGTCGACTTTCTCTGAGATTGAGACACAACTGATCGAAGAAATCCACCCTGGTCTGAACACGATCTTCAGCTTGTCCGTGTTTGTTTGACGGGGGAGAAATCGAAACAAAGAAAAGCTACAACAGCTGGACATCTGTAGGATTATGTTTTATGACGGCATCAGGCCACCCATGATCCGTGTTCGCATCACGTTTGACTTGCTGCCGACTGTCCCTAATCCTGGCGTAGCGTAGGGAGCCCCCTGATGAGGGTGGGTGGCTAAAAGTTGTCCGTGCGTCAATGCGCTGGGACAAAGACGATTACATGAACTGCCCTGTGGGGACAGCCACGGGGTCTGTGCAGGCTCGCTGAGTCAGCGAACTTTGCACTCCATATCGCTGAGAGGTTGCACCCCAATGTTTTGTGTCAGCGTATCGCGGTGATGCTGCAGGGTGATCAGAAAGGGGTATCTGAATCATTGATGAGAATCGTGACTGACTGATCCGATCCTCAGAGAGAAACGCTTTGCTAGGAAAGGGAGGGAAGCGTACATTTTTTCTTGTCCTCGCTGTGCCCTTCCTTTTGGTTTCACGGTGGGGCAGAACGTGTCGTAGACAGAACGGGAAGCTCCGCCCATCGGGGGAAGCTCCGCCCTCTCGCGATCCTCACACAGGGGCAGCTTTGGAAGCTCCGCCCTCTCGCGATCCTCATACAGGGGCAGCTTTTTTGGAAGCTCCGCCCCAAACCCTAGACAAACCCTCGAGAAGACAGGGCGGAGGGAGAGAATCACCTTTGACCTCATCCCCAATTGCCGACATCCAGTGTGCAGCAGTTGTTTCATTCGTTTTTCATCGTTTCGGCCTCCCTGTGTTGATTCCCATCATCAGCACAGGCAGATTCCAGACCAGTTGTTGTGACCAGCAGCTAGGTGTGTGCATCGTGTGTCACGAGTGACACGTCGTGTGTTTGTGCGTTCGTTCGTCGTTCGTCGTCCGAAACACGTTCTTACGAGAAACAGACTCTTTCTCACGTGAAACAGACTCTCGAGATCGGAAGTGAATGCATGATTGATTGATTGATGGCTCAAACATGTACAAACAATGCGTCACCGTGGCATGTGGTCCACCGCACAGACACACCCACAAACAATCATTCACGGCCATATCGACAATCCTCACGTCATAACAGCTCATCGTCAGGCGGCTCATCATCATCAGGTCGCTTCTCTGGGCTTCCAGACACCTGACGCCACGCCCACTCACGAATGAAGCTCTCGACTCGTTTGCATTGGGTCAGCTTAAATCCAGCAAGCCCGATGCAACCCAACGATATACGGTCAATTTGAGGCTCGATCGCCTCCTTTGCCGCGGCAGCACGTCCACGAGTCCTCCGCCCGTCACCCTCGACGGCACTCGGGTCACTGAATGCACAACAGCACACACCCACAAGCAAGATGTGCAAAGGAACACTCCAGGAGTACCTCGACGGAACACTCACCTGGGAACTTTACGATAGGCAAACTCAAAAGTCCCATTTGCAGTCCATCCCGCATTCTTCCCCTCCCCCAGCATCCACCAGACATCCACCTCCTCCTCTTGCATGTGCACCGCGACACACTGACCAATGAAAGCAGCGCCGCCCTCCAGCTGCTCTGGATCTGCGAGAAAAGCATCAACCCAGACGTCATATCACCTTCTGTTCCCCCTCCCCACCCACCTCCCCAGATGAGCAGCAAATCACCCGTCTCGAGCCGCTCGACCTTCTTGACGTATCGCTCCAGAGCATTCTGGTTTGACTGATTGATGCCGCTTCGCTGACCCACACATGCCGGCGCATGGGCTCGCAGGCCGACCTTCTTCAGTGCATCGTCGAGCTGCTGGTAACTGGGGGTAGAGATGTACTGTGGCACCTGACAGACAGACAGACAGACAGACGGACAGTGGCCTGGAGCATATTTGCAGGGAACCACCGCCCAGCAGCTCACGTCGATGTGTGGATGCGTGCGACCAGTCTCCGAGAACGATGATTGCGGCAGAGAAAAGTTGATGCTCTCGCGCTCGTATGTCCCGAGCGCCAACCTTTTGCAGTAGTCGATCTCTGCATTGGAAAACATCTCGGGCCAGTTGTCCTTGATCTTCTCCATTTCACTTGCCACAGCCATTGCCTGAACACAACCAGGACACACAATTTCGCCCGAACCAACACCAAGCAGTGTCTCTCTCTCTCTCTCTGTGTGTGTGTGTGTCCGTGACCTTCCAGGTTGCTGTTCGTGGGCAGATGGCTCTCTCCTGGCAGCGGGCGGGCAGGCCGTCAACCTGAACCTCGACAGCAGCAATCCGCCGATGCTCCAGGAGAACTTGTGGGATGAGGAAGGAGAGATGGAAATGGGGGACTCACGGCAGCAGGAGCAGGGTGGGTTGGGCATGGGCATGGGCATGGGTATGATGGGTGGTGAGTCGGCCGTCCGTCCGCCCTTCTACAACATTCCAGGCCATCAGCAGCTCCCCGGAGGGTCCATGCACCTGCAGCCCCACCTTCAGGCTGCGCCATCGCGGTTCACACTGGACGAGGGCAGGAGCGGGGGCGAGGGCAGGGGCAGCGAAGGCCCCGGGGGCCGCGATAGTGGTGGAGTGGTGTGTCGGTCATTCTGTCAGTCAGCCACTTTAATTTGACTGCATTGTTTGTGCGTCTCTGGACTCTCCTTATCCATTTTTATGTTCATATTGACCAATCATTCCTTGATTCGCCACTGCAAAGTGATCTGGAGCCCATTGCGTGGGTCATTCACTCGATCACTCAGCCATCAATCAATCAATCAAACAATCAATTACTTTCTGGCCGTTCTCGAGTCTGTTTCACGTGAGAAAGAGTCTGTTTCTCGTGAGAACGTGTTCCGATCCTTCGTTCATTCGTTTGTTTGTGCCCGTCTGTGTGACAGACAGGCAGTCGTTGATAAGAGCAGTCCCCCGTGTGTGCGAACAGAGATAGCTTGAGCCTTCAGTAACAGAAACCTTCACACACCCAATCAAACACCCACTCTCACTCACCAGCAACACTTCATCCAACATCCTCGAGCTTTGTGCTATTACTCATAGCACATCGGACACAGACACCGCGGGACAGAACGAGCTTGAGAAGGCAGGATGAAGCTCAGGAGTGGGACAAAGACGGCCGGCGCCCCTCATGCGAAGGGGATGGCCAACAAGGCCGTTGTGCAGGAGGAGGCCAAGCAACGCAACCGGGGAGAGAAAGCGCTGCTCCACAAAATGCGTGACGACAGGCGGAGGGCCATGAAGAATGCTGGGAGCACGGCTGACGTGGCAGCCGTACGGCTCTCAGCAGCTCATCAGGAGGATGAGCCACCAGAGATTGATGTGAGTCAGCCACTCACACAATCACCGGCCAGGACGCCGAGTGCCATCACACGTGAAGACCTGAGGCAGCTGACCGATGTGCAAAGACCCAAGGTGAGTTTGCCGAAGTTTAATGGCGTGTCTGGCACATCCATAGAGACATTCATTCAAGCCATCAGGGTCGCAGAGGAACTGCATGGGCAGACAAAGGGCATCTTCTCGTTTTTCTCTCTCTTGGAATGCGTGTCGTACAGAGTTGACCGACGGAAAAGTGGGACCGGGCGGGTTCTTTGACGCATACTGTGAGGACTGT